AATTGATCTAGCACTTTAAACATAAATGATAAATACTTCCAGACTCGTTTTATATTTAATTCCTTACGTATTTATCATGTATAATTCAAAATATTTCGAGATAAAACAGATAATCAGGAGATTAAAAGGAAACAAAGCACAAACTGCGCACCTATTTTAGCCAGGAAATAGCAAACTGCGCACATAGTATCAAAACTACATATTATCATTGGTGTGTAGGTGTGTAGGTGTTTTTCATATAGCTTTGGAAATTTTGCTATCGTCAGATTTTATGAGATTTTCATATTGAAAGTCAAAATGTATAATAGAAGTAACAATTAAGTTGGGAACGAAAACACTTTTATTGCCAGATCATCATCTTGGTGGATTGACTCACATAGTATTTCATTTATGGGGTTCTACTATTAAATACATATGTGCCTTACATATGGCGCTTACGTTTTCTAATAATACAAAACAAGCTTGGATAGGCAAGCAGTTTCGAAATATTAGGCACGCCGTTTGGGAAATACATGTGAATATAGGCGCGCAGTTTGACAATAAATATGTTTAAATCACGTTTATGGCGTATTATCGTTTTGAACACAGACTATGCTGCTTTAATCAGATGGAGTGATCCTTTATATTCCAGCATACACAGACACAATGGCTGAATAAACGGAAAATTACGAGAAAAAGACATAAATATAACTTTACACTGTCAATTTTGAACACAGAAGTTACTTAAGACCCTTATATTGAGATAACTAGGTTTACATCGGGAACAACATTGAGTACTATGAGTAAATTAAGTTCATCTTCACAGAATGGTACTATCTTTAGAACGAGACTAACCTTGTATTTTTCGTATTCCGGCTCTTTTTGGGAGTCGTGTCCTCCCCGTCTTACATTTTGAAATATGCGCGCAGTTTGTCAGAGTTTCAAACTGCGTGCCTAGTAGGTGCGCAGCTTGACATGGGCATCGTGATTACCCTTAGAGGAGCACGGTGCCAATGTCAAGCTGCGCGCCTACTTAGGCGCGCAGTTTGTTTCAATCACAAACTGCATGCGTGCCTAACAACATTGAATCATTCAAGTTGGAGTCTGTTTTTTGAAACGTAATTTTAAGGCATTTAGACTGCATTGCTTTTTTGTTTAATGCGTTCGTTCTGTGGCGAATATATGAATCTTGCAAAAACTAGCAAAAACTATGTGCAAATGAATCTAAGTTTTAAAACATAAGCAGATTAATGGCATTTTCGTCACCGATTTAACGGGAATTTATACATAAATCGATCAAGCACTTTAAACATAAATGAAAAATATTTAAGGCTAGTTTTATATTTAAATCATTACCCATTTATCATTTACAATTCAAAATATTTCGAGTTAAAACAGTTAATCGGGAGATTAAAATGAAATAAAGCACAAACCGCGCGCATATTTTAGCCAGAAATTACAAACTGCGCGCAAACACTATGTAGATACGTATACTTATCATTGGAATTTCTACAGAGGCATATGTAGGAGCTTTGGAAATCCTACTATATCGTCAGATTTTATGAGATTTGCATATTGAAGGTCAAAGTTTATAATAGAACTAAGTAACAATTCATTTGGAAAAAACGTTTACTTCCAGATTGAAATAAGAGTAATGAGATTCATGAATGTATAGCTCAATAAACTATTTCTCTTGAGATTTGAGAGGACATCTGATCGAAAGGATATTTTCACAGTATTTTATATTTAGTGTATTCTCGAACGAGTCTCTTGTATTTTTAAATACAGGTAGCTTCATTTTTGGTCATTTTTATTAGTCTTTCTTTTTTGACAGCGCATCTATTAAATTTGTTTTGTCAAAATCTGGAGGCGGTGTCATCATTTGAGGAGCTTTTGGAGAATCACTGGGCATAATATCTTCGTATCTGGCAAGTTTTGCGGACTTCTTCAGGTAAAGGGAGAGGGAGTGTGGCTTACGTTTTCTGAAACTACTATAAGTTATTGATTGATTTGAAGTGCAATACAGGATATATTCAGTTCGAGAAATTCTGTATTGGAACGAGACGAAGAATTCTATAACGTTTTTATCGAATAATCTTAGGCCAATACATTTTGGCGGAGATACATGTAATCCCTAGAAGTATTCTGTATTCTCTGTATTGCTACTGAGATTTTCCCCTCCGTACCAATATTTTCTGTATTGCTCCGGAGATGATCAAAGGGAACCATCTCAGTAGCAATACAGATTGGTACAGAACAAGACTGACCAATCAGAAGACTTCATTTTACAGATCATACGATAAAAGATTGGGTAGACAGTAGACACGCATTTTGGAAATATTAGGCACGCAGTTTGGGAATTACATGTGAATATAGGCGCGCAGTTTGACAGGAAAAATGTTTAAATCACGTTTATGGCGTATTAACGTTTTAAACACAAACTTTGCTGCTTTGATCAGATGGAGTGATCCTTTATATTCTAGCATACGCAGATACAATGGCTGAATAAATGCAAAATGACGATAAAAAGACATAAATATAACTTAACACTGCAAATTATGAACGCAGAAGCTACTTAAGTCCCTTATATTGAGATAACTAGTTTTACATCGGGAACAACATTACACACTATGAGTAATTTAGTTCATCTTCACAGAATGGTACTATCTTAAGAACGAGACTAACCTTGTATTTTTCGTATTCTGGTTCTTTTTGGGAGTCGTGTCCTCCCCGTCTTCCATTTTGAAATATGCGCGCAGTTTGTCAGAGTTTCAAACTGCGTGCCTAGTAGGCGCCCAGCTTGACATGGGCTCCGTGAGGAGAGAACGTCTCAAATCACCTTCCTAAATTATGACAAGTAGTCTGGGAGATCTGGGGTAATGTAAATATGAGGTATAAAACCACTCTTTTTTCGGAGGTTTTTACCGAAATCAGCAAAAATCAACATGGTGTAAACTCAACATAATATTTCGAATACGTTTTCGCCAAGACGCCTTGGAATGTTACGTGTAGAGTAAATAGGGCTAATATGAATTTATTCGAAATAGCGTGCAGACATCCTGCATTCCGACAGATGTATTACCTTTTACCACACAATACTGCTGTATGTACACTCCCTACCATAAGTTTAACAACCTTAGCTCCCCCATTGAACAACGTTTTAAAGCCTCTTTACCTTTGATTTTTTATTTACTTAACCTGGGATGAAAATACTTATACTATTGATGGAAAAATAATTTGACGTTATTTCCAATACCTCCAAATTTTCTCAATTTTTTCCTCAATTGCAGGTCGAAAATTGTTGATAAATTTGATGAATTTTTGAAAATCGACATTCCCATATTAACCAATGGGAAATGGTAGATTTGCCGCAAGTCATATGACAGAATATCCATCCATCCGAGTCCTTGCAAAAATACAAGTTAGGTAAGCAATTGAATTTGCTAACTTTATTTAACAAAAAATTGAAACGTTTCTCCAGGTTAAACAAAGTTATAGGTATTTTAAGTCAAAATTGTTTTTCAAAAAAATCTCTCCCATTGCAATAACAAAGGGGGCTTTGACTTTGAAGCTCAGTAACTCTTGTATACATCAAATAAAATAAACACTTGGTGTACAAAAAAGTACTTGACAATTCAACTTTCTATATAAAAATATTTTTTGCTGAATCTTTTACTGAATAGATATTTCTGATTTCTGATTTGCCCCGAACCCACCATTTCCCATTGGTTTACATGGGAATGACGATTTTCAAAAATTCATCAAATTTATCATCAATTTTCGACCTATTGTAATTGAGGAAAAAAATTTGGAGGTATTGAAAATAAAGTCAAGTTACGTTTCCATTAATATTATAAGTTATCTCATCGCAGGTTAACCAGTTAATTCAATGGGGGAGCTAAGGTTGCCAAACCTATGGAGGGGAGTGTAAGATGATCCCAATACAGATTTAATTTGTAATCATTTGAAATTCATGCCTCATCGTTTTGCTTAGTCTAAAAATATAAAAAGTCTTGGTAAACGTGCTGCACAGTAAAAAATGTATCAATGAACATCTTTCTCTCGTGAACACCTCTTTTTATCACATATTCCTCTGACTTCTGTACGAAGTTTCCTCTATGGAGTTAACATCTACCAACTGAGAACACATTTTGGGGGCTCCATATGTGTTCACTGTATACATGTTTTACTGTAGTTGCATCAGATCACCATAACTCTTATTCAAATAAAGAAAATCTTAAAATCTAATTGTAATTATAGGTGATGGGCTAGCCCTTAAATTGCGGTATGGAGGTAGAATTTTATAGGCCATGCTAGTTACATCCTAATTTGTAATTCTCACCACAATTTGGCAATAATTAAGCAAAATTTTACAGCGTTTAGGAAAAAATCAATATTTATACCCCCCGCATGACAAAAGTAGGAGTACATAGAAAATAATTAATAACTTTACAAAAACATTATGAATAACCAGAATTTTTTTTACATAAATCATGATGATTTAGTCGAAAGTGAAAGTTCTTCATAAGTTATTTGATTTAGATAATTTTCTCACTCTCATATGTTTATTAATCCTCTCAAAAACAACTTATATCTAGAGTGGATCAGATATATAATTGTCCATACTCTAGTGGATGTCAACTTTAAAGATTATTTAATAAATGTTCCAGGCAATATATTACTTTTTTATCGCACTACCTGATATATAGCAGTTTTTCGCGGGCAAGTGCACGAAGATACAATATATAAAATGTTAAATGGATGTTTTGCGCAGATGATTTACTAGACTCGTGGAATGTACATGGTTGCGATACTAGTTCCAAAATTTCCAATTCTGACTTGACCACTTCCTGGTAAAAGTCGCAATGGATTGTATAAAGCTAAGTATCGTTTTTGTGTCGACATGGATGCTTTTGGCATGCCTTATTTATCCAAGCTTGGGCTCAGATTGGGATCTTGTACACTACCGAATTGGAAAGTCGTACCTATACAAATACACATCCGATATTTCTGTCCATGACATGGAACCAATATCAACGCGTGCAATGGTAGGTGTTTTATAAACATTACAGCGATATAGCAGTAATATGTGTATACAAACAATTTATTTGCACAAAATAATGAATACTGTATAAATACTGAATAAATAATAATAATGACAATAATAGCGAAAGTTTTTTTAAAAAATAATTATGCATTTTATATTAATTTTCCATTACAGATTGAGCGCCCAAGTTAATGTCTAAATATTAAAAAAGTTTTAAGAAATCTAAGTAACAACCAAGAATTCGAGACTAGAACGTCAGACACAACAATCGATAAATCAATAAGTCTATCTGCTGTCAATAAAAGTATGACCTTTTACTAAACATTTAGTGTATTTGTTCACGTAACTGTTAATTAAAGAAACCCAGCAGTACATTTTTTGTACTTAACAATAATGGGTGGAAATAATGAGTGACGTCCAAATAGCGTCAAAGCCAAATACACAGATAGCTACAATCGGCTCCCACATAACATCTTCTGAAAAATAGTACTATTTTAAAAAGGCCTTAGTTAAGTTTTAATGTCCTGTTTAAGAAACACTATTCTTACTATTGAAAATGGATTCTAGCAATACTATCCCACATGCATGTCCTTCATGAGGTTCAATCAATTTGAGTTCTTCTGAGAAAATAAGGATTTCAGCAAGGGTGCATAACATGGTTACATACGTGATGGTATCCCGATGCTAAGTCTACTCAATGGTGTATGTCAATGTTAAGTCAATGTACCCTTGCTGAAATCCTCATTTAATCAGAAAAACTCAAGTTGATCGAGTCTCAACAAGTAGATTCATGTTGAATAGTATTGCTAGAATCCATTTCCAATAGTAAAAATAGGGATTCTTAAACAAGACATTGGCCCTGCTTTTTAGATATTTTGGATGATACTAAAGGGTATGCTCCTTCCGAACAGATGCCCGAAAAACAAGGCATGATGTCAACATAACTAGCAAGTCGAAATAGATATATTTCGAAAGTATTTCAATGAAAATAGTCCAATCCAATCCCAATAGAAATTAAAAATTACATTAATCGCATTTAGCAAATAACGAAAACACAGTTGCACACAAAACGCAGTAGATTTCACAATCACATGAGGAATGGATTATTATTTTCTTTTCAGAACATAATTAATACAAATATGTAACCATTTTTTATATATCGTTCAATATCATCTACAGTCCTTGTTTTTCCTACTATTCGTGATTTTTACCATATTGTTATTTATCGTTTATTTTTAAATGATTATTAATTTCAATGCCAATATCGACGATAAGTTTCTGAAAACATTAAAACATTTACCCAGCACTTCATTGACATTTCCATTATTTTCTTATTGTGTGTATCAAATATTTTTTATCATTGATGGTGGATAGAATAAACATGATTATGATAACGTCTCCCAATTATAATGTTCATGAACCAACTAAACATTGTTGTCATTTTCAGGTCAGACTCCTACCATTCAACAGCACTAACAATCAAGTCCATGTCATGTTAGACGTTCATCAAGTGGCAATGCAGCATAGAGGAGAACATGATCATGGTATGTAGTTAATACTAGACAATATTATAGCATATTTTTTGCTCATGATTGACGATTTTGTTGCAAGATGCCCAGTTATGAATAGATCTGATCTTGCAAATATCTTTGCAAGAAGGTAAATAATGGTATAAATGTTATTCGACGTATATCTAAATACACTGGATTTCTACTCATAGACACATTTTTCTCAAAATTAAAAATGAGCGTTGCAAACCTGTTTAAAATTAAAGTCTGAAGAAGATCAAATATATAATATATTAAATATGTAGATTTACTCTCAAATTCGTGTGTTTGTACAAACTAAACCAAATCCGACAGATAGTATTTGTCTTATCTGGAATTACATTGAAATGGGGGCCATGAATTCCCTCTCCAGCAGAGGTACAATGTCTATTGATATTTGTGATATCTAGCTAAGATCTAATTTTTATAAATAATGGCGGCCATTAATTCCTTCTCGAGAAAAGGGCACATGCAAAGGTAGACACTAGCCTTCTCTCCTTCTCTGAACTTTATCTAATAAAATGAGCTATAAAGGATTATATCTTTACGAAAAGCGGCGGCCATTTTGAATTTTAAATAAAAATTTCTTCTTGAACAGAAATAAATGAAACACAAGATAAATTATTCCAAAAATATATGAGAATGAAGGTAGACGTTCACCCCAACATAAAATATTTGTAAACTTTTCATCAAACATTATTATGGTTGGTTTCTTTTATTGTAGCTAAATACAATGCTGCTCGTAACATGGATTTTACAAATTGGTATGTACCGTAGCTCATTTAATTATTGTTTCCATTAATAATCCTAAATCTATATATTTAGTGCCCTATTAATTTATCATTTAATTTGAAGTGTATTTGAAATTAGAGGGGTGGTGTTTAATGGCGTTTCATAAAGTAAGCATTTTCAAGTTCGTAAGCTGCACTGTTTCTATATTTTCTTAAATTATTCATCTAACAATTTCTTTAGTTCACTTTGTATTTGGTAATGAGAGTTGAATAACATGCATTGATCTATGCATTACCTTGTTTTTTACAATTTTGCCTGATCCTTCCGTGGTAGGCTTAATGCTCTAAATATCTTAAATTATCCTTGTTTGAGTCAATACTCAATATTATTTCAAGCTTTAAACTCGTCATGAATTTAATTTACAAATAATTTCTATTTTCGATGGCTATTTAGGTTTCACTTCAGAGTGAATTGTAATGGCGAAGCTGATAAAGTTTGGTATCCACCAAATGAAGAAAATGAAGTAGTCAATATCAAAAAGGCAATAGTGAGTCACTTATCAGCCCGGTTACATATGTCCAATATGAAAACAAGACCGCTAAGATGGGCATACTACATCAACGAAACTGACTCAACTGGTATGTGATCAATATTCTCTGTTGTCAAAGAAGACCACGCTGTTATAGCATGACGGTTACGCCACCTCTGAAAACGAGGTTGGACTCCTACGTTCACTGATTTATCCAATAAAATGGCCACGATGGAACTGAAATCTAAAGTTGGTTCATTATTTTCTACTACTGTGAATCAATGAAAGGATGAACGATTTCTGTAAGCGTCGCATTCGGTGATACATTCAGTAATGTACATGTATACTTTGAACGTAGTCTTTGCAAATCGGATGCCCGGGCATAACATGAAATAAGTGAAAACTGTCGAGTTTGATATTCAACACTTCAGAAAATTTAGTAATTTGTTTATTTTTGTCGTCAGGGCATGGTCAACATTGCCTAACAACCTTGGGGTATATAAATGTAACCTACATATGGTCATACAAAGCCAACTGAGCATTGGAAACCACCTAATTTGTTTTACTCAAGCCATAATAATCAGTATTTTGAATTTGCGGTAAAACGGTAACGCAAAAATTGATGGACGGTTACGCAAATCTCGTTCAAATATGAAACCCAGATTTATTGTTATTTTGTTAATGAAAACACAAAATGATATCCTGTGTTTGTCATCTTCATCAGTTGCCAACTGCCAACTCTTCTTTTGCCCCTTCTTTGCTATCTTTTTCACTTTCATTGGTTTCATCAATAAAGCAAGCCACTTTAGTTTTTTCATTGCCCTATAGAGGCTCAAACAAGAGCGTCTCTTGCGAGTCCTGAAAACAAATATAGGCAATTCAATATTCCATTTCTTTACCATTAAATAACAATGGAAAGAGGCTTTCAGATCAAGCAACTTTGACGTGACAGGTGTGTAACTGTCCGCTGTCAAATATCTAATGTACACAACTTATACAATATGTTACCGCCCATAAAAATAATACAATTTATACGTTGTCATTTTATGGCTTGTTTACACACAGTTTACTTACAGTTAATATTTTGAGTTGCTCTGAGGCACACATACTGAGAAAACACGAGAATGGACTAAAAATTATGAACTTGGATATCTCAACCGGTAGGTTTACCCCTTATATTCTGCTTCTTGTAGACCTGGCGGAATTGACTCAGTCTTAACCATCCATATATACCTGTTGTCATCAAATGGAGCTAGTTTAAAAGGAAATCTTACCTGTGAATCTTGCCTACAGGCGAAAAAGAGGACATACTGCCTTTCCCATCCGCCTTTTTTGTTTTCGTTACCGTAAGATTTTGCAAATCGCCATGGCGTAGCTGTCATGGTATAACAGAGTGAAGACTGTCATTTTAATGCCTCGTTTCACTAATTAGACACGCAAAATGAGCAATTTATCTGACTACAAATGCGCACAGGATTAACCAAATACATTCGACTTTGAATTCTTTTATATTTAATTATCTAGGAAATCATCTATCCATGTATAACGTTACTGATATGGGTGACAAGTTGATGTTTGAAAAACACAAATCAGATGGACACACTACTGCGATACCAAATAGCGATGGCTATCATAAAAAGGTAAGATACGTGCAATAGAGAGATTTCACTAAATACCGTCCCGACAATATGCAAAACATGATTTTAATCAACGGACTAATAAAATTTGTTCCACTTGAAGCGATGCATTGCGGGATATTTACATGTATGTTATGCCCTGGTCACATTTGCTCCAATCCATCGACGGGCGCCCGCCCGATTGGTTTTGTTCAATATTGCATTCAATTTTGAACAACACACTCAATCGGCCGGGCGCCATAGTGAAAATCGGTGCAAATGTGGCCAGGGCATTAATGACCATGTTTTCGTCTATCGCACATATGACTTATATTTGTATCGTGTTTAGCGCGTAACAATATCAACGGAAAAGTTACTTATTTCAGTCTGAAAGAAGCCGTTTTTTCCAAACAGAAATACCTTTGTGTATTTCTTCTAGCATCGCCTCCCATGACACAGTTATTTTGTCCTTTATTGCATAATGGATGTAGTGCATTTCTGTTCATAAGTTTATTACTGTAACTCTTGTCCCTAATTCCACCCTCTTGCTTAATTCCTCGACGATCCATCTTCCAACCTTTCCTTTCACATTGAAACAGTTTTCGGTAGTAGCCTTCTTTCACTGAAAGGCATCGTTGATCCTTTCACACTGAAACTTTCGACAGAACGGATTTTGGATACAGAGAACAATGAGTCAAAATACCTGATACACAGGCAAACTATTTTGAAAGTAAACTGATTGGCAGATGGTATCACCTAATTGTTGGCACAACGCTATGAAGGTCTCATTGCGCAGGTCTGATTTGGGATTTTCTGACATGCATTTTTGCGTTTGAATTAACTCACATGATATACATATCTCTTACATATTTGGATCACTTGCTAATGATACCCGTTAGCTACTCGATGAACATTTTCAATGAACTCGACTTATCTACTGCTGAGAAACTAGTTTTTTAGACACCCGCAATATACCACGTTTTGATGTTTGATTACAGATGATTGAGTACCATAAGGTCAACAGAGTTCCGGAACGTATTGTGTCAGAGGTCAACTTCACCGCACCAAATAAACCAATTCATGGGTAAGAAAGTCAAATAATTATATCCATACAATATGTCGGTACTTGTACTGATTAAAATTTAGAGTGGTCGTAAAAACGAAAAGCATGAACGGTACTGACTTAGTACCACATGTAAGCGTGATTTTAAATAAGCCTTGTTATTCTAGTAATGAAGCTGAGACTAGGTTACCCGGTGATCCTTCAACAGACCATGGCCCAGGATGGGCAAACGACTTAGGTAAAAATTACTTACAAAGTTCGTATATGGTTAAAATGTACTTTAAACACAGTTACTAGACTGATACTTGGTTCTTGATACTTTTGACTTAAATGTAAGTGCAGGTATTGAAATAACTCACCAATCTATAATCAATACAATAAAAGTATATGTGGCGGTATACCTGTTTTTATTCCACGATGGGGAAATTCCCAGCAACCTGACTTAAATAGATCTGGTATTCACACGCATTCTAAACTTACCGTGGGATACAGAGTAAAAAATTACGTCACCGTGGGATACGGATTCTCACGGCCAAGACATCAATCCAGGATATGACTGTTACTGAAAAAATCGATGGCGATTGATTTACGCCGACGCGTGCTAATTTTTGAATTTTGTATCCGATTTAAATGATCAGGAAATGATTCTGATCATCAGAATTGATAATCTTAGGATAAAAAAAACACATCTGTAAATATAAGAAACAATTTGAAACATGCACATGTTTCTCCCTATGTTGTTTTTGGGGAGTTTTATTTACCTCCATAAATGTGGAGTTGATTTTTCAAATCACCCCCACAACTACTTGTATTTTGAAATCTTGGGGATGAAAATAAGCTGGATTAATGGTTATGTAGATGAATGTTAACTTTCTGTCAACTACTGATACGTTTTTAAAACCCCAAGATTTCGACAAACAAGTAGTTGTGGGGGTGATTTGAAAAATCAACCCCACATTTATGGGGGTTAGTTTCATTATTCCTTGATTATGGAATAAAACGTTATTCAATGATTTTTCGTGAAATACAGAAAATATTGTGCCCTCGAAAGGATGTATTTCACAAGGCGCTTTCTCGGACTTATTTTTTCTGTATTTCACTTGAATCATTGAATAACTAATAGTATTATCATCCTTTTTATTAGTGCGGCAAAATTCACAATGTTTTTATTTTGATCAACAGACTTGTATATTTGTGAAAAGTATTCTGTTTGAATACTGTTATGTTCAAATTATTGGTATCCCAGAATGGTGGTCAATTGTCGTATTCGTTGTTCTCTCTTCGAAAGGGGAGACGCGTAAGAGTTTCCTTTTAAGGTCAAAATATTTCCCATGGTGCAGTTCGCGGAGGAACAAATTCATACTTCCTTGTTTTCCCCCATATGTTTAACATGGGGATTTTTACACCTATTTTTTGATCGATATATTCGTTCATATTCTCGTCCGGGTGTACAGAAAAATTATCAGAAACTATTGATCTCCTATGAATCTTAATATTACAGATATATTTTTCATTGTTTCGATTCATAGCGTGGTGAAAACAATGATTGAAAAGTGAGAAAATATTCCGAAACAAAAGGTCA